AACAGGAAGTGATGTCACGGGTCGAAGGGTTTCGGTGTGGTCGATTTGAGGGTGGTGACGTCAGAGGGGTGATGTCGCGACCTCACGCGGACCAATCAGGAGCCGTCTCCGTTTTCCCGCCGTTCCCTTAAGTCCCGCCCCTCACAGCTTGCCGCCCCAATGACGTCACGACCGCGACAACCAATCAGGCGCGGTTTGATTTCCCGCCTTTCTTTAAGCCCTGCCCCCTCAGAGCTCCCTGCGCCGGTGACGTCACAACCGCACCAACCAATCAGGAGCCGTTTCCTCACTAAGCTCCGCCCCTCAGAGTTCCACTTCCCCTCCATCAATGGCGTCACAACTGCACACCAACCAATCAGGTGCCGCTTCGTTTCCCGCCTTTCTCTCTTTAAGCCCCGCCTCCTCAGAGCTCCCTTAGCCAATGACGTCACGACCGCAGCAACCAATCAGGCGTCGTTGTATTTCCCGCCTTTCCCCGTTAAGCTCCGCCCCTCAGATCTCCACCCCCTCCATCAATAACGTCACAACCGCACCGACCAATCAGCAGCACTTTCCCCGTTAAGCCCCGCCCATCAGAGCTCCACCTCCACCAATGACGTCACAACCGCACACCGACCAATCGGGCGCCGTTTTTTTTTTTTAATTTTCTCCCAGGAGCAATTTCTGTTTTCCCGCCCTCTAAGCCCCGCCCCCTCCCCGGTTCAGGCCCCGCCCCTCAGAGCTCCCCCCGCGCGTGCCGGATGTAATGGCGGTGCAGCGCCCCCTCGCGGGCGAACGCGCGCCCGCACTCGGTGCAGGCCAGAGCGGGCGCGGCTTCCGGCGGAAGCGGAAGCGGCGCGGGTTTGCGGCCGGAAGCGGCGGCGGCGGCGGCGGGGTGGTGGTGGTGGTGGGCGTGGCCGCGCTGGTGACGCAGCAGCGCGGGGGAGGAGCCGAAGGGGCGGGCGCAGACGAAGCAGACGAACAGGGCCCCGCGCAGCGCGGCCGCCGCGAAGTCTCGCGGGTGTTGGCGCTTGGCGTGGCGGGCGGCGAAGGCCGCGTCCGGAAACGTGATCAGACAGCGGCGACAGCGGCGGGAACCCAGGCGGTCTGGGGGGG